GTGCAGAGCCCACATGATAAAGAGAGTAGAGGAGAGAAAAACGAAGGAGAGGCAGCGGCCCTGACACTGTGTGGCTACGATCCTGTGAGGAGCCAAAAAATGTGAATATCTAGGTGCCTATCAACCCTTGTGGAATCATTTGTACCATCAGAGCTGAAAAATATCAAGCCTATTTCTGGTTTTATCCAAAATAATGTATACATTTTGATGTGAATGAATGCCATATGAGAAGGTGGAAAGTTTGTCCATGTGTTCTTCCTGCTCAAGAGAGATGGAGCTTGAGCAAGTCTTAATTACTGACTGCAAATTACTTCAGTCGTGTAAAATGATATTTCTTACAAGATTTACTGTAAATATAACATTAATATTTCATAGTCTGCTTCAAGATAGTATTTAACACAACATATGTGATAAACCTGTAAAAACCTCACTGACTGCAGACAGGGTTTGTGTGAATCCATGTGTTCATTTATAGCTATGACAGCAGCCTGGGTGAAAGGGTTTTCAGATAGGACGCAGTATGCGCTGCACTCACCATGGGATTTGGGCGCATCACAGGAGAGGAGGGCGCACATGTGCAAACAGTGTAGATGGTTGGTAGTTGGTTGCCAGTTGCTAGGTGACCAAAAAGCTTTCCATGAGGTGGTTAGCAGATATTAACTAGTTTTTCAAGCAGCAGACTTGGATGCATGATGTACGAGAAGCTCTGGCTTTAGTTGTACTGATGATGAGGAGGAGACTATCTGCAGCAAATAAGAATAGAGTGTGGGCCCACCAAAATCAGCTTCTCCTCCATTTTCTTTGTGGTCTGTCATATTTCCTCCTCTATACTGTACATTTGTTTGTATACATACAGGCACACACAGGTAATTATAACCAGTTGCCTTGTGAAGAATATGATCTCATTTAAATGTATTTATGAGTGTATTTGTATGTGTGTTTCAATAACCCAGAGTTTTTCTTGGACTGTATTTGAGACTTTATTTATTTATTTGGAAAAGCCTTCATGTACTGGGCATAAAGGGTCAAATGAAAGACAGTAATGAGTTGTATTACAGGAAATGAAGGTTCAAAAATTGATTGACATTGATTTGCTGCATTGATTTGCAGTGGTTAGTGCTGTTGCCTCACAGCTAGAAGGTTCCAGGTTTGAGCCTTTCTGTGCGGAGTTTGCATGTTCTCCCTGTCCCTGTATGGGTTCTCTCTGGCTACTCTGGCTTCCTCTCTCAGTTCAAAGACATGCAGCTTAGGTTAATTGGTGACTCTAAATTGCCTATAGGAGTGAATGTGAGTGTGTGTGGTTGTTTGTCTGTGTTTCAGCCCTGTGATAGACTGGTGACCTGTCCAGGGTGTACCCTACCTTTTGGGCAGTGTCACCTGGGATTGGCTCCAGCCCCCCTGTGACCCTATTCAGGAATAAGCGGTATAGATTATTGATGGATGCATGGATTTTGACCATTCTTTATAAAATCAGTCTCTTATAAGTCCTCTATCTTTGTAAAAGTGCAGTAGTAAATTGCCTGAGAATCTTTTTAAATGTAAATGTAACTCAGCAATTTCAGTCTGACTGCTTCTAGATCCAACTGATTCTGATTCAGAGTTTTCTTACATTAATCAGGAAAGAAAAGCTATATTTGTTGAAGTCGTGTATGTCTGACTAAAAGTGACCAGACACAGGATGGGAACTTAAAGCTTCTGGCAAATTTTACACATCCAATAAGATGGTGCTGTACATCTGAATAGCTTAATCTGTTCTTGTTTTTCCAGGTCGGTATCCCCCAGCTACTAATCACAGACCATCCAGCTTTGGAGAAACTGAATCAGACTTGCTGTAAATCAGGCAGTCCTTGACTTAATTCTGTTAGTTTTGACAAAAAGGTTGGCAGAGACAGGGAAATGGAGCTCCAAAGAGACAAGATACATGCGCAAAATGGGTCCAAGTTCCTTTGGCAGTCTGTGCAGGAAGTTAGTTGGGAAACTTTATGCTGTCATCTGATGTCCAGTGAAGTTTCTGTTCTCTTTTCAGACTTCTTCTTTTGGCAGCATCTTTAACTTAGATAAACGCAAATAACAGAGCAGATTAACCTCGTCTGCCCCAGAGGCAAGACACAAGAGAGAACAGGTGATTAAAAGGATTGGACTGTGTGTGTGTGTGTGTGTGTGTGTGTGTGTGTGTGTGTGTGTGTGTGTGTGAGCGAGCCACAAAAGGTTGCAGGGACGTACACAGGCAGATGTTCTTAGAGTTGCCTGGCAACCCTCTAGCCACAAAGAAGAAGTGTGGTGCTGGTTATGATGCCTTATGTAATTGTAGGGATGAGTTGGTGGAGAAATAATCAATTCCCACAACTTCTTCTCTTTATAGTAACTGGGAAACCAAAATTGAAAGAAATGAAATAGAAAAAATGAAAAAGGGCTTGACTGCATGCTCTGTGGTTGCATATACCAAGCACTGATGGAAACAGCACCAGCATCTCAGAATGTAATATTCACACAAAGATTTTATATAAACTCCCCAAATGCTTCTACAATCCTATATAACCAACCTACCCCTTATCTGTGGTGTGTTTCACCAACAGTACACTGCAGGGTGGCGTGCAGTGAAACCATGACAACTTCCAGTGAACCTGTGGTGAGGCTTGATGGGGGAATTCTTCTCCTTCCTGCCTGCCTGTCTGCCTGGGGAGCCTGGAGCCTAGGATAAACACAGCTCATGGGTACCCTGAGCCTGATTTGCCTGCAGCTGTGTGAAAGATTATAATATAGGAGAATAGGGGGAAATAAGGATAGAGAGAGTGGAAATCTGAAGAAAAAAGCAAACAACAGAGAAATGTGGAGAGATGGTGGGCAGCAGCTGGAGATGATTATAGCTTCCAGGTTGAATCTCTCACCATGCTCCAATTCCCTCACTCATATGCTCATCCACTTATTCATTCACTCACTCCTTAACCACTGCAGATAGACACCTATGGCACACTTAGATTATCATTGGCCTTTCCATTAAGCCAAATACGCTTTATTGTTCATATACTAGTTGGTTGTATTTACAGTATATGCCTAAGTATTCAACTTTTGGCTCATGCCAAATGGCCAATAGGATTACGAAGCATGAAATGTTGTACCTCTGTACAGGGCGGACTCAGCCCAAAAAGATAAATGTAAAGAAAAAACATACAGAGAACGCATTTCCTGTGTGAGCCCTGTCTCTCTGATCCCAGCGCTATATGACTTCACCTGTGCCCAGACTTTGAGTAAACTTTCTGTTGATTTTATACAGTCCTCTCCTGTCTTCTCTTTTCATGCTTACAATAGAAGAACCAGGTAAAAATCTAACATTTGTCTTCTGGCTCTTAATTGTAGCATGTATATGTTGAATAATAGAAGCTCTTATTTTTGCTGTGGAATAAATAGCTGGCTGAGGAAGTTTTGTTTTCTCCCACCTGGATCCTTTCTTGGCTAATGGGCTGCTGAATTCCATGCAAAAAAGCTTAATTACATGTATGTCACTTTTTTTTCTTGTCTGCGTCTATGTCTGCATGTGCAATTTGCTTCTGCCCTTAGCTAAAGTATGCTTAACCCTTCCACCCTCCTTGGGCAAAAATGTCCATTTTTGTCAAAATCTTTTCAGTAATATTTTTCCAGTGTTGTTGATTCTTAAATGTCATTTATACTCTTTTTATGCATTTTGTACCCTCCTAACACCCTTGTGGCCAAAAATGCCCCATTGACTTCCATTGAAACCACATTTTGTAATCTCATATTGTCATATTATGGAACCCAAGAGTTTATGTGTGTGTGTGTGTGTGTGTGTGTGTGTGTGTGTGTGTGTGTGTGTGTGTGTGTATCTGTGAACGCGTCCAGTGATTATTC